TAAAATGTATTTATTTAATGAAATGAACGATTATTGATAACATGATGTTTTAGATGAATTTCTATGAAAGGTCTCAAAATTAATTGTAACAACATTTTTACATTCTTCGCCCTGTAGGTTTGACCATAAATCATTGAAAAAAAGTATGATTTAATATAAAATATGTAGACCTGTGAGGTTGTGTCTTTGTAATGAACATTGACATTAACCTTAAAATACTGTCCATGCTGTTGTAATGGTTTTACACAATTGGGAAAAGCATCAATTATGACTAAATATGCTCTTCTATTGTAATATTGTATGAATGCTTACATGCATTTCCTCTTCATAGGTAATCTGTAGATATTCTGCTGTCAAACACTGCTGTTCAATTATTTCTTATCATTCTACTTGTGGTCTCCTAAAAATACATTAACGATTGCTGCTCCGGTAAGTAAATTATATTTTCAAACAATTGAATACATAATTCCCATTCAGAATTTGTATGTATTTTTTACTATTATGACTTGTTAACATTCAATTAATAATTCACTGTGATTACATTCTTGACACTATTAACATTCATAACCAGAAATAGTTGATGACATAAAACCCATACACAAATAATCAGTCAAAGTTTGTGTAACATCGTGTCTGTGTCAGTGTGGGACTGTAGAGGGCGTCAGAGCTCTGTCTGCAGGTTTTCATCCAACATCAAATCCACAATAGCTTTATATCCAGAGGGTTAATACCTAAGGAAAGAAACATATCTATGTTACATGCAAACAATAACATGGATGTATTGATTATTGTAAGAAAAGAGTACATTTCCTCACCTGTAGTAGTTGGGTTTGTAGGGTCCATGTTTGCTGATGCCCAGGTACTTGCCCTGTTCATCAGTCAGCTCTGTGAGGTGAGCGTCAAACGTTGGCAGGTGAAGACTGGCCACATATTCATCTGAAATTTGAAGAGGCTTTATTGTGTCTGAATAAGATAATATTGAATATACATATTGAATATCATATATATATTTGGATAATCAAGCTGAGGACTTGCCCATTTTCTTTGGCAGCAGGTAGACGTCCTGTTTGTAACGTCCTTCTGGAGCACTGTAAAGCTCTATGAGAGCCAGAGCCTGAGGTAAAAGAGCAAGAGTTAAAGGAATACTTCCCCACAAAAAGACCATTGGTACATCAAATACTCACCCTGTATGTATATACACACATGCACGGTGAATGAAAATGCATAAACTGAGAAAATACTTCATGAATTGGGGTCACGTTTAACAACAGAAAAACGTAGGCCTACTCTCTCAGAACTTGTCCAGTATAATCAGTATAAAGTCAAATTTTTGCTAAATACTTACCTTTTAAAACACTTTTGTATAAACAGTCTCACACTTGCACAAGTGTATTTCTCGTCTATGTGAGTAAGGCCACAATTAATTTTAATTCATTAAGAATTTCCTCAATTTGTTATTGTTTGTTCACCATGGTGACATGTTATTTTGTGGGTAAAGAATTGCAACAGCGCTGCAGATTCTTCCTCTGCAATACAATTAGGGAATAATTAAAGAGTTCCAGTATTTTTCTAAATAAATCTCTCATGTAAATGACGTATTATTATACCTGAGTCGTAGCAGTGATGGAGAGGACAAAAGAGGGCACTGTGGAGCAGCTCAGATTCAGCAAACGGCCCTGAAAGAAAATAAAAAATGAAATGACATACTGTGATGTAGAATAGCCTTCTGTCTCTCCTGCTGCAGACCTAATCCAGTTAGGAACCAAATACTTAACAGCAATCAGGTAAATCTGTTCTTGGTGCTCAAATCATCAACAATATGCTTTTGACCTTCAGGGCCACCATAGTAATGCTAAGGAAGACTTTAAAGTCATCTTAAGAAGTCTAAAACCTTTGCTTGTGTATATAAAGTTAACTAGCTTCACCTTATTTAGAATGATTGGCAACTTTTCTAAGGTAGCTTTTAAACACAGATAAAAAAAAACATACCTTTTTTAGGGGGTCTTGGATTGATATACAGTACTTGTCTTTAACCAATGCTTGCTAGCCAATGCAAGGTAGCCACTGCATGCTAACAAGTGCATGCTAAGCTTGTAACAGAGAGCTAAAGAGCTGAGGCAGTCTGAGAAAACCAAACAGTCAGGTTGGTCTAACTCTTTTCTGTTTATGCATTTCTCTTGACCTTTAGGCTTCTCTGTTTCTTTAGCATTAGCATTTCAACATAGTATTATGCACGAATGGTTTTATGTTGGAATGGGTTAGGCTAACGATTAGCTAGCCAGTTAGTTAAACATTGTTAGTAAAACATTTCCAGTTCCCTGTAAGGTTAGTGTAGCTCAAATAAACTAGGAATGTCAGCAGGTAAGTATAGAGATGTGGAAAAGACTTCATGAGTATGCCTTGTCTTAGAGTTATTGCCTAGAAAGAAAAATCGCTGGGCTGTCTTTAATGATGACTAACAGGGATAACTTGATGCTATTTGAGAAAAGTAAAACAAAAACATACATTTACAGAACAATATCGACCTTTAAACATTGAAAAAAGCAAGGGTTACTTTAACTTGAAATCATTTAAATTGATTCTGAGGTCAGGTGATTCATGTATTTTGTATTGTCTGTACACAGACAATAAGCAAGACAATGTGCATGAGGTCAGTCATTATAGTGCAGCAGCCCCTTCATGATGGCCCAGATCCTATTTCAGATTAAACTGTGGGGCATTAGCCCCACATTAACATAAATAGGTTTACCTACGTTATCTCTCGGTGCTGGTGTAAATAATAACAGTATCATCACCTCAGCCAGCAGGACGATTCTCCTGCCATCAGGCCAGATAACATGATCCACCTGAGGCCTCACACGCTCCCACCTCAGCTCCGCTGTTCGTAGACTTACCTAAGAGAATGAGTCACACAAAAAAGCTTCATTTTTACAGTTTAAAGTAAAGTTAAAGTACATTTACTCAAGTACATATTTAAGCTTTTTGTTCTTGACTTAAGTATTCTCATTTTATGCAGATGTATACTTCCACTCCACTAGACCTCAGAGGTACATATTGTCTATTTACAGCTTTACTGTAGTTACTTTAAATATAAAGTAAGAAACAAGGTTGTAGTGTTCCTTTGTGTGTCAAGAAATTGTACTGTGCCACACCTGTTGTGATTACTGATGTGTTGTAAATTGATTTACATAAATATGAAAAAATATATATAATTGATTTAGTTTTCAATAACTTCCATGTCATGTGACTCAGTAACTAGATTTAAAACAGTGTGTCCCACTCATCCAGTGTAGTACTACAATACTGCATTGACTTGGAAACATTGTGTCACATAACATACAGTAGAAGCTATTACTTTTCAATAAGAACTGGATCATGCATCAGAAAAACACATTCATTAACACACATAGAGTTCATACCAAATCTATCTCAGTGCTGCAGTGTCCCATGTTGCAGACTATGCAGCCATTCTTCATTCTGTCCATATGTTCCCTACCAACCACGTTTTTATTGCCTGCAGAGACAGACAACCGGGAACTGTTTTGTTACTTATATGAGAGCTCATATTAGTTTGTAGAGAACATCAATTACCTGTGCATGTGATGACCATGTCCACCTGTCTGACCACTTCACCCAGTTGAATCACTCTGAAGCCATCCATGCTGAGAGGGGGGGGGGAGAGTCACACTTTTTTTTAAGCCTTGATGTTTTGCTTCAATGTACCATTGAAAGAATCAAACAGACTTTACATCTGTGCTGATAAAAGCTTCCTCTATTCATACCAGGCCTGAAGGGCACAAATGGGATCCGCTTCTGTGACGTTGACAACAGTACCCAATGCTTTCAGAGCAGCACAGCAACCTTTTCCAACCTGAAGGAGGAAGAAAAGAGGATGGTAGAGCTGCTTTAATGTACAGTAAGTCACAATTTACAGCAGCGCTGGGAGCTTTACTGACCTCCCCATATCCGCACACCACCACCTGCTTTCCTCCAAACATGACGTCAGTGGTTCTCCTCAACCTGACAAAAGAGTTCAACACGGTCAGGCTGCTGCTCTGAATTGTACCAGTGCTCGTATCTGTATGCGTTTAAAAAATAATGTATTACCCATCCAGTACGGACTCCTTGCAGCAGTAAAGGTTGTCAAATTTCTGCTTAGTCACCGAGTCGTTAACGTTCATGGCCGGCACACACAGCCTGCCTGCCTTTGACAGCTGGTATAACCTGAAACATGAAGGCAGACACACGTGTGATGTGGAGAAGATAGAAACCCCATAGAGTGCAGTAGAGGGCTCCGTCTGTGCTTATATAACTAGGGTTACAATACGTAACCCCCCGTTTTGTGTAAAACCCACCGATAGATTCCTGTAACACTTTCCTCCACGATGCCTTTCAACTTCTTGAAAATGCTCGGGTACTTCTTCTGGATCCAGTAGGTTAGGTCTCCTCCGTCATCCAGGATCTTTGGGGGGAGAAGCACAGCTAAACTCAATTAAGACCTTTGTAACAGCAATAAAAGGCACAGTTTACCCAAACAAAAAATAGACTTTCATTTCAACTTTACTATCTATTCAGTGTGCTGACTGTAGGAGATTGGGCTGTAGCTCTTGGGCTTATTGGGCTTAGAGCCTTGAATAGCCAAATCCATATATCTTAGAATGTACAGTATAATTCATATTCATACACCTTACTGAATTTTATGTATAGAGAGAAATTGCTTCAGTTTTTGTCTGACATGCATTATTGGAGCAGACTGTGCAAACTATGTAAAGGAAATAAGAAAAATAATATTGCATTACTTTAACACAAACAAATCCCTAACTAAGAATTTTCTTATTGCATTTTTTAAATAACTACACAACAAGGATCTTTGTAGTCATCGTTTTTTGTACAACATTTAGAACAGGTAGATTCTTAATTTAGTTGACAAGTACCACTGGTTTAAAGGCCACCAAACCTAATTTCACTGGGTTGAACTTATTTCAGTTTCATATCTACAAACTTTGGCTTCTAAATCTTTAAATGAATAACGAGTCCTGTCTGCTGATATCAGTACCATGTTGGGCTGCCAGCTCTCAGCTCCGACACACCGGTCAATACACCACCAGAAGTCGTCCTCTGATTCTCCTTTCCACGCAAACACTGATATGCCTGAGATGAAGAGAGTATCAATCACTTAGTTACAAAAATAATTGTATTGATATAAAAAAAGATGAGCCAGATTGGAGGAGGAGGTGACACAGACAGTCGTACCTCCTTCAGCCAGAGCAGCAGCCACAGCGTTCTGAGTGGAGAAGATGTTACAGGCCGCCCAGCGACACTGAGCCCCCAACCGAGAGAGAGTCTCCATCAGCACCTGCAAGAGACCAGCAAATAACAAATCCTAAATGGTTCAAATATAAACAAAGGACGAGAAATGTAAATGCAAAACAGATATAGATATATTATAAAACCTAGTGTCAAAACTATTACAAACATATAGTGAAAAAAAAAATAGGAAATGGCAAATCTGAACTTAAAGTTGGTGGTAGTATTGAGTATTCATCTTTCTACTCAGACAGACCTCATCTTAGTTCACACAAGGAATTTTATTAAAAGCTAGGATCGAATATCAGATGGATGGGGGGGGGTGTGTGTGTGTGTGTGTGTGTGTGTGTGTGTGTGTGTGTGTGTGTGTGTGTGTGTGCGTGCGTGCGTGCGTGCGTGCGTGCGTGCGTGCGTGCGTGCGTGCGTGCGTGCGTGCGTGCGTGCGTGCGTGTGTGTTGAACTGACCGCTGTCTGTGGTGTGATGTGTGTGCAGCCCATCACTTTGGCTCCTGCCAGAGGTTTCTCTCCTCCTGCTCTTTTCGTCAGGATCATCAGCGCTGGCATTTCTGAATAAGAGCAACCAACAAGACACACTCAATTTGGTACTTGGATGATTGCTACATAAATGTATCATCATTACCACTTGTGAGGACATGAACAGCTTTACCTTGCTCTGCGATCGTTATTTCTCTGCGTCCAAATTCAGCCTGCTGGATGTTTTTGATGCAGAAGTCAGAAAGGCCTTTTGAGGTCGCCTGAGGTTTGTCTCGGGGAGAGGACTCATCCTCAGAGCTCCCGCTGCACGCTGAAATAAATTGTATCAAAAAAATCTGATATGATGTTGTGTCCAGAAGCCATAAGTTGAAGTATGAAAGAGAAAAAAACATGGTTTGTTGGAAAGCTTTAAACGTTATGAATCAGCTCTGGTTTTCCAATGTTGATTGTTGTGTGTTTGGAGTCAGTCTGTAGCTAGTTGATCGTTTTTATCTGAGCCTTTGAAGTCTGTATAAACTCTGGCAGTGATTGACACATTTGAGGACACATTGAGGCTTACGGAGCCGATTAGGACCAAATTAAAGAGACTTAATTCTTCAGGAGACTTTTCGTTTAGCTGAAGGAGAAAGCACCGAGGATAATCCCCCGGGGCCTGCGGTTCTCGTGTCTTGGGATCAGAACCAGCTCAGTTTATGTATTAGAGACATGTGATCAGACTAAAGAGCGTGTGTGTGATTTTCATGTTGCCATACCTGAACTGTAGCTGTCAGTAGACGACTGCGAGATGGATCGAGACAAAGAGCGACGACCTATGTTGGCGGGACGTTTGTTGAATTCGTGCTTCTGGTCATTGAACTGTATTTGCTGTGGAGCCAAAAAAGAAGAGACACAAACAGATGCAATAGTCAACTAAGTAAATCAGTTGTAATTTGACTGCAGGTCACAACCATAAAGTCTTAGCAACTTCATGCTGAAGACATAACAGAACTGATGTTGTAATGAAATTCTAAATCGCACATCAGCACCCTTCACAGCAGCAATCACCATCTTCCTCTCTTCTCTTTCTCCCTGTATCTGCTGCTGTCTCACCATCCGTTGTGGCTGTGTGAAGGCTGGGCTGCTGCCACACGAGTCCCACTTGTCCATGTCCGCTCTCTGGCTTCTTGCCTGCCTCTGCTGCCTGAGCTTCAAGTCCAGCTCCAAAAACACAGACACACCCCCTCACTGACCCCACCTCCCAAAAACATGCATTGAGCATTTGGAGCTTTATGGCCACAGGTTTTTTGGATCATTAAGTCGGAAACTCTGCTAAAAAATGATAATATGGAATGGCCGTATACTGCATGTACATCACACTCCTACACCCTACTAGATCAAATCTTTATTTTGAGCATGATCTTCACTCATTTTACACATACAGGTCAGTTTACTCGCACCAAGCGCTACCCAGTTGGATAAAATGGTTCTATCATGTCTCGTACGTCTCTTGAATGGATAAAATAACCCTCGTAAGGAGCGCAATGTGTTGGTGCTGTTGCTCTTCTCTTTGACCCTTCTGCTGTGACAAGGCCTCTCTGGAAGGTCATTGCATTCCCTCCATGAATTTTAAAGTACATATATTGCTCAGTTGTATGTCATGCAACCGCTGTAAGGATAATAATGTGCAACAAATGACATTCATCACTGTTATGAATCAAACCGAGTCCTGTAATCCGCGCTACAAGCAATTATGCTTGAACTGCTCCCGAGCGTTTATAATGAGGTTCTCTTTTTCTCTGACTTCAGTTAGATTAATAACCATTATAAAGTTGTTCACAAAAGTCAATCATAATTCGTTTTCTTTATAATCCCCTTGATTTTCATTGGTTGATAAAGTATTGGAATAAAGCCTCAATTGCTCCACTTTGCTCACCAGATTGTATTCCGAAAATAAAGGTCCCTGACTTTCAGAAGAATCAATAAAATACCACACCAAAAGTAAAAACACATTTGTCATGTTCATCAATGGACTGGTCTGAGAGGTGTAACTTTATTTTTGTTCTCAGTACTGCTCACTTAAAAACAATCTCTTGAATACTGTGTGCTACTCCCTCAAGCAGCTGCTTAATCTTTAACATAAAAGACATTAAGCTGTGACTTTAGGCAGTGGGAAAGTTTAGCTAATGTTTACAAAACCATCTCTTAAAGCGCTCCATCCAGCTACTGTTGACGTTCAACGAAATAAGGCACAATAAAAGCTTATAAACTTTTAATCAAGGTGGAGTTGTGTAAATAAACCCCTGTGGGAAACCAATTATGCATTTATGTGTTACCTGAAAAGCCTACATTTTTTGGAACCATTTTTTTGTGAGTAACAGTCAATAAAACCAAAGGAAATGGGCCGTCGTGATTAAAAATTGATATAAAGGTTTATTTTTCTAAATGTTTATTTAACTGCTCACATTTAAAACAACCTAATGATAATTCAAAATGCAGATCTGGCTCACTGCCCTCTAAAAGGAAAAACAAAGAGAAACAGAGCTTCTGAAACAAAAGCAGTGATACCTTGATGCAGATGGACTGCACGGCCTCCTGGTCCTTGGCTTTAGTTATGTTCACTAGACTGTAAACTTTCTTCATGCTGGCAGAGCGGCTCTCACACTGACTGCAGTAACTCTGCACAGCTGCACGCTCGGGCTTATGAGAGTTCACACAGTGACGCTTAACGCCACACCTTCACCCATTAACAGGCCCAGGTGGGAAGAGAAAATAAATAAATGGTGTCTTTGTGAGGCTTGGGAAAGTATGAGAGAACAGGTTAGAGATGAAGAGAAGAAAAGAGTTTTAAGGAAACTGAAGCTCAGTGAAGTGTTACTTGAGGCCACAGATGGAAGGGAGTGTGTAAATGCACTCTGCTCTCAGGGTATACATTAAATAGTAAATGTACACACATGAACATACATTCATGACAGAGTTTTTTAGGGATGGATAAAGAAAAGTGCAGCTTTACTGATAGAGGAGCAGCAAAGTGAACAAACACAAGCCTTATATACAGTATATATATATATATATATATATATATATATACTGTAAATATATATATAGTTGCATTCAGGGACACAGAAGTCAGCGTATTCTAGGTTTCTTTAAGTTAACAAATAATAGAGCTGGACTAATGTAAGATTAATGTAGAATATTTTCTCTGCAGCTGTGCAGGGTTGCTGGAAGTCTCTTAAAGGCAAATTCCAGTGATTTTACACATGATGATCTGTAAACCTTTCATGAAAAGTACAGCACAGCTTTTAAGAACTGTTAAATAATGGCTTCTGCGTCAAAAATAGGACCGATGCGAGCGGGCTACAGAGATTGTTAAACTCACTTCTTCCCAATTTCATGACTCCGGACACCTTTTTTAATTCTTAAACGTGTAGTCATCACGCTTTATCTGAAACTCAAGTCTCAAGTGACATTCAGCAATTCATCAGATTTCACACACCGCCCTTGTAGAGACACAAAAGGCTTTATACAACTTTTTTTTTCACAGATGCAGCCGTACACCCCTGTAAACAGACTTTGATGTGTGAAATCGGCACACTTCCCCTTTAATTATTCTCTGTGATTTCAAAGTCACACAATGAGTGAAATATGTATGTGTGAGTGCAGGTCAAACATTCATAGAGGCCTGCTCATTGCAACTCATTAACAGCCTGAGTGTATGCCGACTCACGCTTCTTATTATAGGTGCAGGCACCATATATCTCTATCAAACCAGTAAAACTGCTTCTCACCATGTCAGTCTTCTGAGCTTCAGTCTCTTCTGTCCCCGACGCCTCCTCCCTGTCTCTGTCCCAACTCTGAGGTGTCCTCCTGCTCTCTGCTGCCTTCAGCATCTGCAGCAAGTTAGGGCTGCATTTTAATGACTGATGTTTGTTGTTTTCCTCTTCCTCGTCTCCATTCACCACATCCTCACATGGTTCAGGATATTCATCAGGTAGTGGCAGTGTCTGGTCTATTTCCTCTGCCATGACTCCACTGGCAGCCAGGAATGATGTGAATAAGATTCCTGCTCAGGTGATCTGTCAGCAGACAATACCCTGCCCACATAAATCTGATATTTCCTCCTGAAAGGCGTCTGTTTACTCTAAACAGCAGCAGTTCTTGGGTTACTTTGACTAAATGTAAAGTAGATACTAAGACCTGGATACAGTGCGTAAACTAAGGGTAAACACTGATAGGAGGACGGCTTTTGGAAGAAGAGGGAAATGTAGCTTTTGTATAGTGGTGTAACTTACTTCAACCAAATAACCATTAGGTAGAATCCAACATATTCTCATATAGTCTTTTGTACTGAAATGTCTTCTGTAAATGTTAAGGCAAAGCCCTTAAAGCCTCAGGCGTTTAACCTGTGGGGCCGCTTCTTGTTTTGTGTTGTTTTTGACAACATTGGCTCAAAATCGCTTTAATCACAAATACATGTGCAATGCAAACAGAAGCTTTATACATTATGAACAAACAGGGCTATGTGTTTACATTACAACATACCAGCATTAACAGTGACCCCCTATGTGTCGGGATAAAAGACGAGGGGCACACTGAGATCCAACTAGTGTATTTATTAGGATTTAAATAACTCATAAAACATTTGTCAGGTTTATTTATGAACGTAATGTATAACATGTTTTGCTATAGAAATCGCACTCATTGAGCTGCAGTGGAATACAATTAAAAGAGAGAGGAAATAATACTTTGTTTTTTCAACCCCCATTACATTGAAATTCCATTTGGAAGTAGTCTCTAAATGGCCAGTATGAACTGAAGGAATGATAAGAGCTACACACAAAATGGCCCCTAACTATTGTTTTTAAATCAGATATGAAACATTATGAACCCCTTCACAGAAGTTAAGATTTTAGTCTAGATTACGTTCTGTGAAATGGATCAGGATGAAGTTTGTCAAGATACTTTTATTGAGTCTTTATGATGGGTACATTTTAAATGATTTGATTATTGAGTTGTGGCTGTCTAGTCAAACACACAGTCATATTTACATACAAACTAGGTCATATTTAACATACAGATCCTCAATGTTTAACAAATGAATGTAGTAGGTTAGGAGTATCAATAGGAGAATTACTTTTTGTTCCACCAGAGGGTGTAAAAGCTTCAAGGCTGAGACAGTCAGACCTTTAGTCCCTTCTCTCTTCAGTGAGGACTTTGGGTGCATTTCAGTTCGATTCCTTCTGCTCCGTCTCTGAGTCTGAACCAGGAGAGGTTTATGAGTCTCAGTCCAGAGGAGCAATGGGAGGGGGAGTTAATACTGAATCCTCTCGCTCTCCCTCCAAATCTTTCACTCTTTCTCAAATCTACTTGATAAAGGAATTTCAGACTCTGGTGTTAAATTCGGATGGGTATAAAACTGTCTGTAGTTGAGGTGTTGTGTTCATGTTATCAGTATAAAAGAAAAATGAATGTTTCTCAATTAACTGTGTGGCATTTTGATTCTTGTTTATGATCGAGGTCACATAAGAGACAAAAGTAAAGAGAGTATGCTAGAAAAATTGCAAAGCTTGTAGGTGTTAAGCTTAACCATCAACCATTTTCCTTTCATCACCTGCTTCTTCTTCGTACTGGGTAGAATGAGGCTATCGTTTCTATTAGTCTGTTTGCTCCATTAGAGATGATGTACTTACTGAACCTGACGATTACAAGAAAAAACAGTGTCACATACTTTTATAATCAAATGCTGCTGTGAGTGTAGCAAGTTTTCTAGCAACACATCTACCTGATACGGATATCCACTCTGATGTTGTTTTAGACTGAGTACCAGTTACTGGCCCTTTGTCAACCATCTTCACTTCAGCCGTCGTAGAATTTGCAAACTCACTGAACTGCATCGCTGTTTTTCATTCAGGGATTTGCCTATTTCCTCCAGGGCACACACTACTGCAGTGCTGGACTCTTTTTATGGTGCAGTGTCTAGCTCCTTCCGTCAGGCAGCAGCGCAGCAGGGGTAGTTATATGGCCAAGGATGAGCAGGCCCCAAGTGTCGTGGTGGAGCCAAGATATCAGGCTTTATGTACTCACACTTTGCACCACTTTAATTCTCAGCTAAATTGAAGGTGTCACAAAAAATACTGACACTGCATTTTCTGTTATTATCTCATTTATTTTTGTAAAACATGTATTTATTAGTGAAAGAGGGGAAGCTATTGACAGATATCACTATCACAGTTGGGATCCTTTCACAACAACATGGATCACGGATGTCCTTATCTTAATATGACAAGTCTAGCTAGACAGAAGGCATGCAAACACACGCACACGCACACACACACACACACACATACACACACTCACTCATTCAAACATTTACAGCTGTCGTTCAGACATGTAGGCAGTTTTTTACTGCCCAAATGATTTATGTCAACAGTATCTTTTTCTATAGTATATTATCTTCTTTTTACACTATACATATCTGCTTTGGTCGCAAAACCATCACATTAACCACAATTTTACTGTCGGGGTAAAAAGAGGTTGCATGTTAAACAACATGCTGCACAAGCTTGTGTTGGTGGAGCAAAGAGGAAAATATAAAACCCCAAACGTCACTCAAATGTACATTTTTACAATACACCACATTCCCTCCAGAATTCCTTAAATACATATATATTTATATATATATATATATATGATACAAAAAACATGTGTTTCAAATAATTAAAAGTTGTGTGGTACAATTTAAAATGTAAAACAGGTTCCTTTCAATGGCAGTATCTATACGTTCTACAATCTAAATAGAAACAGATTGCACAGAATGGATAAGAAAATCTCAATACGTTAACAATTTTATTGTGTCATTTCAGTTCACTAGATTTATCACAAACATGAGTCAGCTTGTTGGCCCTCATCGTGCTGTTCGTATGTTTTTGTACTGGCACATGAGCAGGTGCTTGAAGGTGTTTTTGAAGGTCGCGTTGCAGAGGGCGTAGCATGCTGGGTTGATGGTGCTGTTGATGTAGCAGAGCCAGTAGCCGATGGTCCACAGGGAGTTTGGGATGCAGATGGAACAAAAGGTGTTGATCAGCACCATGACATTGTACGGGGTCCATGTGGCTACAAAAGCAACCAGGATGGCCATAATGGTGCGCGTCACCTTTTTCTCCCTGGAAGAAACGCCCTTCCTTTTCCACTTTGCCACAGCACTCTGCTTTGTCACCTGGACAAAAGGAAAAGAAGAAATCATTTTTTAATTGCACGTTTTTTGGCAACTTACAATTACAGGGGAAATACAGTTAATGTTGTTGATTCTGGTTGCAGTGATATTTTGCTAGCTAACGTTTCAAGAAAGCTGTCCGGTAATATATGTAATGGCTCGCGTAAATCGTGTTTTACATTAGTAAGATCCAGAGACTAAATTGTTAACAATCCGATAAGTGAGATGTTTCTGTCTGCTCTAAATTGCTGGAGCAACCAACAGTTCCATACCTAGACCCTGGAGCTGGAAACATGTTAGTCATATACATTGTAATGGACACAATCATACTCAGTGATCAAATACCTTAAACAGGGTCCTTGCGGTCAGACTTTGTCTGTCAGCGGTGGAGTTCTCCGGAGAAGGTGGCTGAGTTTGGTTTGTCTTTTTCTCACCATTTGAACATTTCTGAGAGGAAGCAGGGACGGCAGTGTCTT